CGCCATTTTGGTGAGGGAGGTGGCGTCGTCTGCACGACTTAACATGTTGTTTACTGGTGACCACAATGATCTTTGGGCACCATACCAGTTTGCTTGTACGAGTATGGTGAATAAAACAGGTAGATACTTATATATAATGTGTGTATATAGGGTAATAACACCAGAAACAGTATTGCAGTATTGTTGGAGGAGAAATATTAGTGCACCTGGCCTTGAGGGCGGCAGCCACCAGCTGTGTGAGTAGCTACGTCCATATGCCTTTACTCACCATACAAGCTTAGATGTAGAGTTATTGTGAACAAAACATGTAAATACTTATATATAACGTCTGTAAATAAAAGCAAAAACAGTATGGTGGGAGGAGAATGGTGGCAAGTCAGGTGACTTGAGGGAGGGAGGAAGTAGCAGCCAGTGGCGGGCTGCCACTTGCACTGCCACTCAGCATGCCAACTTAGTGGTTCGTTATGGTGAACACGAATGTAGATACTTATATATAACGTCTGTATATAGTGAATAAAAGCAAAAACAGTATGGTGGGAGGAGAATGTGGGCGAGTGAGGTGTTGAGGGAGAGAATGAGTGGCTGGCTGGTGTGTGGTGGTCACTCCTCGTTACTTTCTGACTCATAATAGCAACTTAGTGGTTCGTTATGGTGAACAAAACATGCAGATACTTATATATAACCTGTGTATATAGTGTAATAACCGACAAAGTATTTATTCACTGTTTGATGAACATAATTGAATCAACAATATGCACACCATATTTTTGAGTACAGCGATGATTCACTCAATATTATATAAATATATCACACTACACACTACTGAATAATATTATAGCAAAAAAAAAACTGCGAAAAATCAATCAGAGACATTGAAATAATTAGGTAATTATCACTTTGTGGCAACTCCGGCCTGACAGCTGGCGAGCAACAGACCGCCTGGGACGCACGCTGAGTCAGCACCTGTTTTTTGCCAGACTTCCCCGCCCTATAGCGGGCAATATATGCCACTTACGATTTTTTTATTATTTTTCCCATGATCAGTGAACACAAATTAACAGGTTTAAAAGAAAAATAATTTTTTTTTTTTTTTTTGGTTTGCGCCTGTAAGTGACACATGCTAAATAGCCAGGTGCCATTCAAGGGTTAAGGCAAGCAGGGGATAGTTTGAGAAATTTAGAAAAAGAAGTAGCATTCATAGTGTTGTGAGTGCTGTGTGTTGCGAGCTGGTGGAGGAACACAGCGAAGAACTGACCACCGAAGAACTTCACAAGGAGCAGCAACAATAGACAGCTGAGGAAATTTCTTCAGGGGAAGAGACAGTACAGAATGTTCCTTCCTCATTAATTAAGAAAATGTGTGCAGCATGGGAAACATTACAAACTTTTTCTGAAACGACTCACACAAATCACAGTGCAGTAGGCCGTTGCCTTAACCTTTTTAACGACACTGTGATGCCTCACTACAGGCAAAAATTAAAACGTATGGAAAAAAATCCATGAAAAGGTTTTTAGTGAAACAAACAAGCAGGGAATCACAACCAGGTCATAGTGGTATGCAGGGAAAATGTAGGAGAGAGTGTACCCCAGAGAAGTCATCACTGCCTGATGTTACAATGGAAGGGGTCTTCCCTTCCAAACAGTAACACCTCTCCTCCTCTCCATCTTCAATACGTCATCAAGAGTCCTCCATAAAGGTAGGATAAACATATGTACTGTATTGCAGTTAAAGAAATTTTTTTTTATTCAGTATAATACTGTATGTATTTTCAAGTTAATATTTTTGGAGGTGTGGAACGGATTAATTCAATTACCTTTATTTTGTATAGGAAAAATCGTTTCGACTTACGATATTTCGACTTACGATATTTCGACTTACGATATGTCTCTGGGAACGGATTACCATCGTAAATCGATGCCCCACTGTATATCAAAGTGCACCTGCTGTACTCGCCTAGTTGTGCTTGCGGGGTTTGAGCTTCAGCTCTTTGGTGCCGCCTTTCAACTGTCAATCAACTGGTGTACAGGTTCCCGAGCCTATTGAGCTATGTCATATCTACATTTGACATTGTATGGAGTGTATGCCTCCACTACATCACATCTAAATGCCTTCCATTTGTTAACCACCCTAATACTGAAAAAGTTCTTTCTAATGTCCCTGTGGCTCATTTGGGTACTAAGTTTCCACCTGTCTTCCCTTGTTTGCATACCACCCATGTACTCAGTTTAGTTGGGAATAGGAACAAATAGATTTTGTAAATAGACAAGAAACTAGTGTCATCACTCGGGAGATCAATATGAATGTCAATGATCCTTCACTATCAACTTTAAGGTAGTTCCATATATCCTTGACCCTGTGCCCTTCTATTTGATGGCCTGATCAGCCAGAATGTTAATGAGCAGACCAGTTGCTTGACTATGCATCACTCATCAATATGAGAGTAAGTGCAGATGATTTGTTCAAGTGAGAGATATATATATCGGTAAAATATACAACAGGCATGGCTAACTTTAACTACAGGTGGGAGATATACTGCAGCAAATATTCCTTCAAGATGAGACACTCTCCTCTGGACGCAAACATGCAAGACCGTCTTGTGATGACATAAGCAAAGCTTAGCTCACCAGTTACTTGTTACACAGGTTTCATTCAAAGCTGTGACAGATGATGAAAATATTCTAGCTCACTATGTGCTATTGTCACAACCATCTGTAAGTCTTCATTACACCAAAGACAGTATATTACTAGTAAATCTACATATTAATTTTTAATTTAATATTTAGAATTTGCAGTTAACAAATGCTCTACTGAGTCTGTTATAAAAGTCTAATGTAAATGCCAGCCTCATTTTGTATAAAATACTGTATTCGTTACTTCAGTAGCAATTTTAATGTGATACAAAGAAAATGTGCTACAACATTTTCATAGGTAGTATGATGGCTACATTGACACACTCAACGAGAACATATAGTAAAAGCAAAATACACATCGCAGAGAAATTCTATGCACACATTAAATATTAAGATTATAAATAATAAATTAAAGATACCACAAGAATTTGCATAAACACCAAAAGACAGAGCACACAACAGTACACAGTACCCGTTCCTGAAGCACACAACGTAACGCTCACTATTGTTTCTTACAACTTGTTACAAACTTGTTACATCTTGTTAGATAATTGTTACAACTTGATAAAATGTGTCACAACTTGCTTGAACATTGTAGCAATGTCGTAGTTTCATTGTGTGTTTGGCGGGGTCTGTACTGCATATTAGCCTGCAGTTCTCATGAAGATCCTCAACACATTCACAAATTGTCCTCGGGCCTAAGCCATGCTGAACATGTCGTGAAGAAACGTGCCAAGAAACTTTATGCCCTGGTGCATATATTTATGTTTTGGGCATGTAGAAACATCAACAGGCACCAGGATTGGGCACAAAGGAACAGTATCAATACTAATAATGCCTAATATGAAAAACTGTAACATTCAAAATAGACCCAAATACAATACCAATTTACTTTGAAAGGACACTTTCTTTTTTCGCTGAAAATCATTTTTTTTTAACTATGTTTAAAACAACCAAAAAAATAGTGTTGTATATAATAAAATGCCATTTTCTGGGTGATACCCAGAGGCTTCCTAGAGCTATCCAGGCTGATATTGCTAATATTAGACTGGCATCAGTCGGTGTGAATGGAGTTTTTTGGGCCTACCGGGAACCATGAGCTAGAACCTAGTCCCCTCAGAGAGGCATGAGGAGCAATGGTCTATAGAAACCCCACTGTAGTTGGAAGCATTTTATGTCTGCCATCAACTGGGTCAGGCACCCAGAAAGGTAAGCACCCCAAAACAAACCCCTATTCTGGTTAAGAAATTGCTACTGAGAGCCGAACTAGTGGACAGAACTCCCCAAACAAAAACGAGCTAACGAACATGACGTCGTCGCATTGCCGTCTGCGCAGCTCCCCCCTCCCTGGAAGGGGGAAAGCTGGAGCCCCAGATCCCTCGTGTCGGCTACCCAAGACCCTAGTTCTGAGGCTGGATATCAAAACACGCGAAAAACCGCTGACCGGAGGGAGGGAGGATTGCCGGGGAGCCTCCGGAGTCTCACCCAGAAAATGGCGTTTTGTTACATTCAACGCTGGTTTTCTGGGTTTTACACTGTGGGCCCTCTCAACCTCGTGGCCCCAACCAAGGAAACCAGGGCGTATTCTCTTGCACCCATCAGTCTGTGTCAGGTTAGGTCAAGGGCAGTGTGTCCTGTGGAGGGAGGAACGTACTAGATGATCTTTAAGAGACATTCCTTGTCTCCAAGCCAGCATGGGAGGTGATTGGGCAAACCTAGGCCAAGAGGGGTGGTTCCCATAGATGTTTCGTAGCCAGGACCAGATGTCAGTCAGGGCATTATGGAGAGGGCTTGCTAGGCCGTTAAAATACAGTGATGAAAGGATCCATCTTGACTGAGGGTCTGGAGTGGGGGCCTGTATGATGAGCTCTGACCTTGTTTTCAGGTCTAGTTTGTTTTTAGCCATTGCTATTACTCATTCTGGGTATCCTCTGGCATAGAACATGTCCCAGAGGTCTTGAAGTTGAGTAGCAAGGGTGTCTTCAAGGCTGTTAATCTTCTTCAAACGTAGACCTAAGGAGTAGGGTAGGGAGTTCTTCAAGGAAGAGGGGTGATTGATGTCATACTGTAGATACATGTGCAGGTTCGTGGGTTTGTAGTAGGCCCTCGTGTGGAGGAGCATATTCTCATTGCCAATGAACACTGTAGTATCCAGGAAATTTATCTCTGTTTTACTCTGCTCCAAGGTGAACTTCAGATTTTCGTGGGTCGTATTTTTCCAGGCATAGAAGGGCTGGAGAAGTGTGTCTGGTCCAGTTATTATACTGAAAATATCATCAATATAACGAAATTGATGATATTTTGATAACGGAGGAGACCTGCTGAATCGCCGGAGCTACCTACCAAAAGACAAAAACAAGAGGGACTTACCTGGGAGGCGGTCGTTGCTTGTTCCACAACGCGAAGCTGAGACAACAGGCTGCAACCGCCAATCCAAGGCCACACAGGCCCGACGAGCCCCAGGAACATCAACGAAGGAACTTGCAGCCAACTGACGAATGTCGTGGGCACAGGGATAGACTGCAGGCTGGCTGGACCGAACCACACCGCGGATGACCCGAGTGAACTGCACCCTGGAACAGGGAAGAAGGGAAACCGGAGCAACCCAAAGCACGACCCCGGACACAGCAGCTGGGGCAGGCAAAGAATGGCGAAGAGCCGCAACCAAACACAACACATCATGCACTCCTGACCAGACTAACCAAGCATCAACAACTGAAGGACCCTTCGGGAAGCAGCCCCCCAGTCTTTGCCAGAAAAGCAGGAGACTGCAGCAAGCGAACAACCGAACACAAAGAACCAAAAAAGCAGAAACCCCTGCGCCAGAGGAGAGCATGAAGCTCTCCGACCTGACCCCTAGAGGCCAATGCTAACAAGAAAAGAGCCTTGGAAAACAATCCAGAACCAAAGAGGCCACAACAAACTGAGGAGAAGAGAAGAGAGCACCCAATCCAAGGACCAGGACGGCTCAAACAGCGCATGAGCAGGCCGGAGATGAACCATGCCAGAGACAGCTCGCGAATTGGTGCAGAAGGAATACCAAAACCGAAGTAACCCGGAGTGGCTCCGCCAGTGCTGCACAAGACAGTAAGTGGCAAGATGACGGTCCTGAACCTCCACAAAGGAAGGACAAGACTATGCCAACAAAACGCAGCATACCTACAAAAGGACAAAAAGAAAAAGGAAGGACTGCCAAAAATCCTCACACCGCCACCAAGACAAAGCATGCAGGTGGGACACCATCAACGAAGCCACCAGAACACCAATAGATGGTGAAAGACTCGAGGCAGAAACTGAACCAGCCCTGCCACATACCGGACCAAGCATGGAAAAGGCAGAGCCACGAGAAAACCCCGGTGCGAACACTGAGCAAGCAGAGCTGGAAACCCAAGCCGGTAAGGAACTAGATGGAACGTCTGCCGTACAGAAAACTTCCCAATGCTAGCGAGCTCGTCAGGTGACCGGAGACACCGTGGTTTCGACTCGAGACTTGTGAGAAGTGACATCGTGAGTTCAGAAATGTGCTAACTGGCAGGTTAAGCCAGGAAACCAGGAACCCAAAAACCGGCAAGCCGGAAAAGAACCAACCCGGGTGAGCAGACACGCCCCGTCTGGGAGGAACCCTCCCCCTCCCCTGGGACCCCCTGAAGGACCAAGAAGTCCGACAACGGATGGCAACAAGCAGCTACTAGCAGAAAAACGCCGAATCGCAGATGCCGCAAACAGCAAGGACAAAATTACGATGAAAATCGAAGAACCAGGGCCCAGGCCAAGGCCAACAAGGAAGCGAGCACCACGAGTAGAAACGCGAAGCGAAAAACCAGTGGCACTGCATTCCGCAGGAGCAGCGTACCCAGCCCAAGCATGGCAGAACAATGCACGCGATGCTGAGTAAGGTATGAGGAGAACTAACCAGGACGTGAAATGCACAAAAACAAAAACGTACTGCCTGAAAGGGAACACAAAGAAAAGGCAGGAGCCAGGGCCTGAAACCTAGCACCTCCTGGCCCAACGAAAAGAAACTACAGGGGCAGGAGAGGAAGAATGGAAGCTACATACACCTGCATACAGGGTAACCCAGAAGCTGAAAGGGACATAAAAGGAGAAGATGAAGAACCCAGGACCATAACTGAACAGAGGGGCTGTGCAATAGCAGGGAACTGAATATGGACAAAGTCCAACCTAGCACAAACATTAGTATAGCCAAGAGGCACAGACGAAAATACACAACAATGTGCAGTAGAGAGATACGAAACACGGAAAAAGTAAGGAAAAGACCTTAAAGACAGTCCAAGCACCAGCAGCTAGGGACAAGAGAGTAGAAGCAATAGGAGGAACGAAGAAGACTGAGGCAGCAATTGGGAACGTAATGAACATGACCTACTACAAATACAGAGAGGATCCAATGTACAGTATATGGAAGGGCTCAGCCAGGCAGTGCATGACGATCAATGAATGAATGTCATGAGGCAAGAAAAGACCCAGGCAATGAATGACTAAAGAAAGATCTCGAAAGACGGGGCTGTGCTCCATCATGTATAATGAATAACAATACAGACGGACATAGGAAGGTCAAGGAAAGAAGCACGCAATGGGCCAAACAAAATGCCACAACCAATCCCCAACACTCATCCAAAAACTGTGAACCAGCACCTGGCCGTAAGTGATGCTAGACCGTATAAGCTCACCTGAAGAGCGCATGCACTATCACGACACATCTTAGCCAAGTAATATTCCGGGAGCATCGCTAGTGGAATATGGCCAGAGCCACAAGTGCAGGAGAAGATGAGTAGGTTAGAGGAGGATGCGGCGCCACACACCCAAATGCAGAGAAAAGAACTGGGTGTCCACTCCATATATTCAATACAGAACACCGCCAATATCTATGGGGCTCGGACTGGAGAGATAAGAGGAGTGAGAGCAGCAAATCACCCAAAAGAAAAAGGATGCGGAACACCAACACTTGTGTACACCGTCCATAAACAAAACAAATACTCTGGCGCACGCGCAAGACGCATGAGGTCCAAACCACACAACCCACCCGATGGGGAGGGCGCCAACTAGGAGTATTAAATGAATATCATCAATGTCGAGACAAAGCACGGAGAGAAGATGTAATAATAAAAGAATGAGACATTGTATCGAAAAACCAAGATGAAGCACGGAGGAAGACCAACGAGTCCTATAAATGACTGGAGGTAAGCCTCACCGGAAGACGACAGATGTTTCAATAATACAGGAAGTATCGAAGACCTTCCTGAACCTTTGAGTTCCTGCAGAAGCAAGCACAAAATCACGAAGACTCATATGGCCAAAGTTGCACCCGAAACCAATGGTGATGCAGGATTCCGAGACAGGAGAACATGACCTTGCCATGAGGGAGAATACTTGTCCCAGATAAGAAGGGTGAGAAAACAGAGAAAAGTACTCACTGGCAGGATGGATCTGAAGGGACAAGGAACCAAACCCGGGGAGGGACCGACGCCCAGCAAACTCGTACGCTGAGGTGGGAAAGGAAAACACCACTCCCTGTAACCGCAAGCCCTGTTCAGAGGGCAGAAAAACCCTGGCGAGTTCCAACAGGGCCCAAGGCCCCCAAAAGTCAGTCCCTCCCCAGCCCCGGGAACCCACGGCAGGACCCGGAGCCAAGCTGTCCCCCCAAAGCCCCAGCCTCACAAGAAAAAGCCAGAGCAGCCGTAAAACACTAAGGAAGGGAGCCCACTGGTCAGACCCATACATCACGGCTGGAAGAATAAGCTCGAAAGCTTCCGTCGCTACCCCGAAAGGGGCAATCCCCGAGACTGTCCGAGTCTCAAATCCATCGAAACCCCGACCCGAACCCAAAACCCACAGACGGTTCGGAGCTGGATGCAGGGAGGAAAGGAGGAGGAGCGGTGGGGGGTGGAAACCAGACTGAACCACAACAGGGGAAAGACAAGGGGGGCGTGGACGGAAACAAATGGGGCAGCCTCAGGGCTTCTGGGTAGCAAACAACCTAGTGCGTTGCAACCACCTGAACCCAACATGCAATGAATGTGCTGCCTGTGCCCGCATAGTCATCATAAGACTGGGTAACTGGGTAACTGAGTCACAAACAAGCAACAAAACTCGCAGGACTCCGGGTCGAAGGTGACACTGACCCAGTAGGCAGCGTGATGGAGGCAAAAACAAAGAGTCACCCTGAGACCAGGGGACAGATCAACCCACAGACTCGCACAATGCGAGGGGGGGACTCAGGGGTCACATCCATCGGACCCACATGTCCCCGTGGGGGATTCCCAGGGTCCTGAGATGGAACACATGCTCAGGGAAGCCCAGGTAGGGTACTGCTAACTGGCACCCAAGTCTACCAACAACCTTCTAAGTACTGAACCTCAGGGATGTGTACATTCATGGGACCTAGCAGGAAGTACCACCAGAAGACAGAAGTGTACAAGAAACAAAAATAAACCTCGCCAGAAGACAACGTACTCAGGCAGAACAGAGCCGACCACCATGATAGGTGAAAACAAGCTGTGCAGTACCCTGCACCCCTACCAGTGCAAACTGCCTGTTACCCTAAGGTGAACAAGGAAGCCAGGACACCCCAGCATACAAAGGGCGGCCGAAAGCTGAGCAATAAACGACCAAACGGAGGCAGAACCCAATCAACTTGGGGAAGGTGGCCCCAAGCCCCAAAAGTAGTATTTACTAGGCACCTCAGGAAGGTAACCCTAGGCACATGCAGCCCGAGTGCTGAAGAATGACTCCTGGCTCGCGCACCCCCTATGAGACAGCCACCACACCACAAGGGCACAGAGCTGAAGACAAAACCGGAGCCAGAGCACACGACCTCTGCCTAGCGCATCAGCCTCAGAACTGAGGTCTTGGGTAGCTGGTGTGAGGGATCCAGGGCTTCCCCTTCCCCCTCCCAGGAAGGGGGGAGTTACGCAGACGGTGCAGCGACGTGGTGATGTCATGCTCTTTAGCTTGTTTTTGTTTGAGGAGTTCTATCCACTAGTTTGGTTCTCAGTAGCAATTTCTTAACCAGAACAGGGGTTTGTTTTGGGATGCTTACCTCTCTGGGTGCCAGACCCAGTCGATGGCAGACATAGAATGCTTCCAACCAAATGGGGGTTTTTATAGCCCATTGCTCCTTGTGCCTCTCTGAGAGGGCCCCAGGTTCTGGCTTGTGGACCCCGGTAGGCCTAAAGAACTCCACTCACACTGATTGATGCCAAAGTCTAAATTAGCAATATCAGCCTGGACAGCCGACGAGGCTCCCCCGAGAAACTAATACTAATATGAAAATTTTTATGCAATTACAAAATAAAAAATTAATATACTGGCCATCACAGGTCATACAGTAAGTTTATAATAACCTAAAACATTGTTTGTTCTTTTAAAACACTTAAATTTCCAATAGAGATTTATTCTAAACAACTTGTATAAAGTATCACTGAGTACTATTCACCAAAATATTCAATACATACAAATTGTTCTAGAGAGCCAAACACTATAATATTTATATCAAACTCAATTCCATACATAATATAAAACACCTACAAATTTATCTTAATCACTTTCATCATTGTCATTACTACCTCTATTCAATGGGCGTCTGGTGTCATCATCTGAGCCATAAATCACGTCCTCATCCGAATCATTTACCATACTGAATGCTGGATTATCCTTCATTATATGAGTTTCTGAAATAGGAATGATTACAATCAATAATTATCAAACTGAAATATTATTTTTATTTTTAATAATCCTGTTTTAAATGTAATGAAATGTCTCTTTCTAGTCGAGACCCGGTGGTTTCCTGAAGCTCTCTAGCCGAGATGGCTCCCAATTACTAGTTCACATCAGCTACAGACTTCTTTTTGGTTTACTGTGGACTGGAGACAGAATTTGCGGCCCTCCTTCACAGAGGCGAAGAGCAGATGATACTGGCACTCCATTCAGAATGTCAGCAAACCAAGACAGATCATTGCTAGGTTGAAAAGAACTGAAGCCTCAAAACTGTCAGATGAACTCCCCAAATAATGTAAACAAGCATCAGAATCTCTCAAAACTAGCAAGAGCTCATTAGCACTAACTTCCCGCAAGTAACAGGGAGTGGAAGAGGAAGTTGGAGTTCCAGGTCTCCTCCTGCTCTTTCTCATTAACCCTCAAACCGCTAGGGGCCCAAACGGATTTAACACCCACAGGCGCAACAAAATTAAAAAAAAATCCAAAAAATTCTTTCATCTTATAGAAGTGTTCATTTTTGTTCCCTGATCACGGGAAAAATAACAAAAAAATAGTAGGTGGCATATTTTAGCAGCAATAGGGTAGGGAAGTCTGGCAAAAAAAATCAGCGTTGAATGTAATGAAACGCCATTTTCTGGGTGAACCCCGGAAGCTCCCTGGAGCTTATCGGGCTAATGTATGTTATATTAGACAGGGACATTAGCTAAGAGTTCAGACCTACCAGGGACCAGCGCCAGAACCTGGTCCCTTCAGAGAGGTTTCAGGGAGCAATGGCCCTGGAAAACCCCCTTGTGGTTGGGGTTTTCCTTATCTGCCATCAACCGGGGTTAGGCACCCAAAAAGGTAGGCATAACAAAACAAACCCCACATGGTAAAAAAATAAAACAAAAAACCAAACAGAGAGGTAGAAATTCCCTACAATCCCAAGGAAACAAGCAAACATCACACTTTACTGCCGCCCCAAGAGGGGGAGGGGGAGCCCCGGACCTACCACGCCGGCTGCCAAGTTTCAGTTCGGAAGCTAAGCTTCAACCAACACAAAAAACCCCCCAACCGATGGGAGGGAGGGTTGCCAGGGAGCCTCCAGCGCTCACCCAGAAAATGGCGTTTCTTCTTGAGATTATCTTGAGATGATTTCGGGGCTTTAGTGTCCCCGCGGCCCGGTCCTCGACCAGGCCTCCACCCCCAGGAAGCAGCCCGTGACAGCTGACTAACACCCAGGTACCTATTTTACTGCTAGGTAACAGGGGCATAGGGTGAAAGAAACTCTGCCCATTGTTCCTCGCCAGCGCCTGGGATCGAAAACGGGACGACAGGATCACAGGTCCAGCGTGCTGTCCGCTCGGCCGACCGGCGTTTCATTACATTCAATGCTGGTTTTCTGTGGGGAGCCCCTACGGCTCCATGGAGCTTCATACCCAAAGAGAAGGAAAAGAAAGGGCTAACCCGGGAGGCGGCCGCCACAAACTCCGCAACGCGAAACCGAGACAACAGGCTGCAACCTGCGACCCAAGGCAACAAGAACGCACAGGAGCAGATGCGCATAAAGAATGGGTGGCCAAGAACCTGTGTGACCCTCAAATCCCTGCACTCGAAATGAGCCCTAGACATCACCAACACAGCAGCAAAAGCTGCAAACGTCCGAACAGCATGGGCGCAAGGACAGACCACAGGCTAGAAGACTGAAAAACTCAGCGGACGACCTGGGAGACCCGAGCCCTAAAACAGGGAACGAGCGGAACCGGATCAACCCAAAGCGCATCCCCAGACACGGTACGCAAGTAACGTCAAAAAGCGCAACTGGACAACACAGGACGCACCCCCAGCCAAACCAATCAAGCATCAATAACCCAAGAACCCCTCCGGAAAGTAGCCGTCTCGACTGTTGCTAGGACGGAGAGACTGCAAACGTACAAACCTACCACCAGTACCAAAGAGCAGAAACCTGAACCGAAGGGGCTACCACAAACTGAGGAGAAGATAAGAAGGCACCCTGATCAAGGACCAGGACGGCTCAGGCGACGCATGAGCGGGCCGGAGGTGAAACAAAACATGAGAAAGCGTACGAAACGGGGCAGATGTGACGTCCACCCCAAACGCAAGCCGGAGCGGCTCCGCCAGCGCCACACAAAACGAGGCGACAGTAGGAAACATTAATAACTGTAGTTCTGAAAACCCAAAAAAGGACAAGACAACCCGATGCGAAAAAGAAGACAACCTACGAAGAGCAAGAAAAAGTGCATAGAAACACGAGGAACGTCATACTGTCGCCAAGACGAAGCTCGCAGGTGGGACACCGTCAACAAAGCCACCTGATCACTACAGAGATGGTGATACCCGCGTCAAAATACCAGACGCGAAGAGCCGAGGAGAAGGCTGAACCAGTCACGAACAGGACCGATCCGAGCTACCGAAAGAGGCAGAGCTGCGGGAAAACGCCCCGGGTTCGGACACCTATGAAGCAGCGTCTGCAAATAAAGCCGGGCCGGCCACCAAGGAACCATAAGGACTACTCTCGTGGGAATGGGCTCCAACCGAGCCAGAACCCGAAGGAACAGCTGGACCGGGAGAAGAGGAACAGGTACCCCACCTCGACCAGTCCTGCTGAAAAGCATCCATCGTGAACGCTTCGCAGGCGGGAAAGGGCGCCACATAAAAAGGGGTGATGCCTAGACCACGCCGACTCGAAGACGTCTATTGCCAGGACTTCATATGTCTGGCAGAGCCAACAAAACAAGTCGGCGACGACTGGCCAATCCGTGAACAGAGGAATGAACCGAGACAGCTGTCCGCCAGGACGCAGGACACACCCCAGACATGAACCTCACGGTTAGCCAAACCCCAAGAATCCAGCAAACGAGCCACTCTTAAGGAACCAACCCCAAGGTCAACACCTAAGAGAAACCCTGTGGTTCCGGCAAAGAACTGCCTGAGAACAGTCCGAATGGAGCTGAATGGTAGAGCACCGAGTGACCCAAACCCTCCGAAGCGCAAACCAGACAGCAACGAACTCCTGAACTGTGCTGCAAGCCCGACGGACGGACAGTCCCCACCATCCCCGGCTGACCTGATGAGCACTGGTCACAAAGCCCCAGCCGAGAGATGACCCATCCGTGAACACATCGAGCAAAGGCTCGGGAGGTGCCAAGGCATGGAACCCCGAAAACCCCAAAGAGGAAGCTGGTGACGCAGCACCAACACAAGATCCCGACGGAACGAACCCAACGATTGCAAGAGACGCGGAAGGGGAGTCTCCGAAGGAACCAAACAGACGCCGAAGCCAAACCCATCCCCGAGGGCAGACCAGCACGTCGTAGTTCAGACTCCCGCACAACTGCTCGAGCAACCGCTGAGCAACCCAGGACCCCCTCATGAACAGCCGAAAGCGGGACCACAGCCACAGCAACACTTCTGGAGGGAAAGACAAGGAGTGGCCCAAGAGCTCTAAATAACGCCCAGCCAGGTCCAAACCCGGGACAGAAACAGATGGAATGGCCTCCAGATCACCAGGAAACCAAACCCAGCAATCTGGAAAGAACCACACCCCTGGCGAGCAGACAAGTGGACCGACTGGGAGCCCACATCAGCCAGTCGTCGAGGTAGGCCAGACACCGAATCCCAAGCAGACTCAGACAGGGCACCAAGATGCGGCAAAGATGCAAAAATACATCAAGTGCCAATTACAAAATAGGGAAGGCAACAAAAGTGGCAAGCATGAAGCCCAACCACCAACTGTGCCAGTCCCGGAAAAGTGGAGAGGAACATGCCAAGAATTGACCTGGAGGTCCAGGGCCACCATCCAGGCACCTGGCCCCAACAGAAGTCGGACAGGAGACAACAGTCCTCCGATGAGGGCATAGAATCCAGGGCGCAGACTGAAGAAATCCAGAAGAACCGCAGATTCGACAGGCCCATGTCTGCAAAGAGCAGCCGGGAACCCCAGAAGGATCCTTCTTGAGGTTATCTTGAGATGATTTCGGGGCTTTTTTAGTGTCCCCGCCGCACAGTCCTGGGTGCGGATCAACCATGTCCAACGCACCCACTAAGATGACATGACGAAACGCAGGGGAAGAAGCCCACCCCGCCAGCCCTGAACCCCCCAAAGGGGGAGAAGCCGTCCACCGCCGCCATCAGAGGCCGGAAGACAACCAAAAGCGCCCACTAACTGTGGGACCATGTGAGAGTCAACAGAGCAAGCTGCTCCCCAATGCCCCGTCAACAGAGAAGGGAACAGAGCCCCCTCCAAAAGAAAAGGTACACACACACATATACACATTCACACAAGGTATGTTACACACAAGGTTATGTTACATTAGGTAATTACACTTAGGTAATTACACACGTGTGTATGCACAATCTTTAGGGAACCAGATACAATAAGAATTCCAGAGAACAACATAGAACACATAGAGGTGTCTAGAGACGAAGTGGAAAAAATGCTCAAGGAGCTCGGTAAGAACAAAGCAGCTGGCCCAGATGGCGTTTCACCATGGGTTCTGAGAGAATGTGCATCTGAGCTCAGCATTCCACTTCACCTGATCTTTCAGGCATCCCTGTGTACAGGAATCGTAGCAGACGGGTGGAAACAGGCTAACATAGTTCCAATCTACAAAAGTGGCAGCAGGGAAGACCCCCTCAATTATAGACCTGTATCATTTACAAGTGTAATAGTGAAAGTATTGGAAAAACTAATCAAAACTAAATGGGTAGAACACCTAGAGAGAAATGATATAATATCAGACAGACAGTATGGTTTTCGATCTGGAAGATCCTGTGTATCGAATTTACTCAGTTTCTATGATCGAGCCACAGAGATATTACAGGAAAGAGATGGTTGGGTTGACTGCATCTATCTGGACCTAAAAAAGGCTTTCGACAGAGTTCCACATAAGAGGTTGTTCTGGAAACTGGAAAATATTGGAGGGGTGACAGGTAAGCTTCTATCATGGATGAA